ATATTGAAGAGTAGTGGAGACAGTGGGCATCCTTGCCTTGTTCCTGATTTTAGGAGAATTGGTTGTAGTTTTCCCCCATTAAGTATAATATTGGCTATTGGTCTGTCATATATGGCTTTTATTGTTTTAAGGAATGTTCCTTCTATTCCTATTTTCTCCAGAGGTTTTAACATGAATGAATGTTGTATTTTATCAAAAGCCTTTTCTGCATCTGTGGTGATAATCATGTGATTCTTGACCTTGGCTCTGTTGATGTGTTGGATTACATTTATTGATTTCCGTATGTTAAACTATCCCTACATCTCTGGGATGAAGCCTACCTGGTCATAGTGTATGATTTTTTTTAATGTGTTTCTGGATTCTGTTAGCTAGAACTTTGTTAAGGATCTTTGCATCTGTGTTCATCAAGGAGATTGGTCTGTAGTTTTCTTTTTTGGTTGGATCTTTGCCTGGTTTGGGGATGAGTGTGATATTGGCATCGTAGAATGAGTTTGGGATACCTCTCTCCTTTACTTCTCTGAGGAGCTTGAGGAGTATGGGTATTAGTTCTTCTTTAAAGGTCTTATAGAATTCTGTTGTGACTCCATCTGGTCCTGGGCTTTTCCATGTTGGATGACTTCTGATTGCTTCCTGTATCTCGTTGTAAGATATTGGCTTATTTAATTGATTTACTTCTTTGCTCAGTTTGGGCAACTTGTATTTCTTTTTCTTTTCTTTTTGGTTGGTCGTGGGGCTTGATCTCTGGTCTTGGACGCTGTCCCTGCACTCTTCAGCGAGCACTCTACCGCTTGAGCCACAGAGCCACTTTCGGCTTTCTAGTGGTTTATTGGAGATAAGAGTCTCATGGACTTTCCTGCCTGGGCTGGCTTGAACTCGATCCTCAGATCTCAGCCTCTTGAGTAGCTAGGATTATAGGCGTGAGCCACCGGTGCCCGACCAACATGTATTTTTCTAAACATGCATCCATTTCTGCTAGGTTTTCTTTCTTTAGAGAGTATAACTTTTGAAAATAGTCCTTTACAATTGTTTGGATATCTTGGGTGGCATCCCTGATCTTGTTACTTTGGGTTTCCTCTCTTCTTTTCTTAATTAATCTTGCCAAAGGTCTATCGATTTTATTTATTTATTCAAAGAACCAGCTTTTTGTTTTATTAATTTTATTTATAATTTTCTTATTCTCTATCTCATTAATTTCCACTCTTAATTTGATTATCTGGCTCCATCTAGTGACTTTAGGTTCCATTTTTTCATGTTTTTCTAGCTGTTTTAATTGCAACATGAGATTATTTACTTGGTCTGTCTCTATTTTCTTGATGTGGGCACTGAGGGCGATAAATTTGCCGCTCAGGACTGCTTTTGCTGTGTTCCACAAGTTTCTTTGTGATGTGTCCTCATTTTCATTGAATTATAGGAAGTTTTTAATTTCTTCTCTAATTTCTTCTGTTACCCAGGTATTGCTTGGCCTGAAGTAATTTATGCAGTCCTGGTTCTGGGAACCTGTTTTGCAAACCCACTGAGCAGGCCAGGTTTCAGTCAGATGTGGTTGGCTTCAGGGCATTCATCCCCTAGTTGCCTGGGTTGGATGGAAGGGAGGGTTTCCACATTGTGAGGTTTCAGATTCCAATCACTGTTGTCCTTGTTTCCACAATTCATTAAATTCTCCTCTCAGCCCTGCTGCCTGACAGGCACAGCCATGCTATGAAATTTCCACTCACTTGCTTCGCCCATTCTTGCGAAGTGCGTCTCCCAGTCATTTTATATCATCAGGGTTACTCATAGGCCCATAGACCCATGGCCAGGCTGGACTATACAGTAAGATCACTTCACACACACACACACACACACACACACACACACACACACACACACACACACACCAGTGGCTAGCTAGTCAGGAGGCTGAGATCTGATGACTGTGACTTGAAGCCAGTCCAAGAAGAAAAGTTGTGGACTCTTATCTCCAGTTAACCAGTAAAATGCTGGAAAGTGGAGCTGTGGCTCAAGTGTAGAATGCCAGAGAAAGCTAAGCAAGAAAGCAAGGGCTCAAGTTCAAGCCTGAGTACCAGCAATAAAACAAACAAGCAAACAAAACCAAAAAGCCACAAAATAAAACACAGACATACATACATCTATATCCATCTATATTATTTTTTTTTCCTTCCTTCCTTCCTTTCCTTCCTTCTTTTCTTTCTTTACCTCTGCCACATTTTCCTTATCTAGTTGTCCACTGATAAGAGATCTACACAGATTCCATGTTTTAGATATTGTAAACAGTACTGCAAAGTGCATGATAGTACAGGTGTCTCTTTGATATATTGATCTCCTTCTTTTTGGATATATACAGAGTGCTGAAATTGCTGATAGATTTATTTCTAGTTTGGAAGAACCACCATTTTTTAATTAATTTTTTATTGTGAAAATACAGTGCAGAGGGGTTACAATTACATGAGCAAGGTAATGAGTACATTTCTTTTTTTTTATTCTTTCTTTCTTTTTTTTGTTGGTCGTGGGGCCTGAACTCTGGGTCTGGGCACTATCCCTGAGCTTTTCAGCTCAAGGTTAATGTTCTACCACTTGAGACACAGTGACACTTCTGGCTTTTTCTGCTTATGTGGTGCTGAGAAATTGAACCCAGAGCCTCATGCATGCAAGGCAAGCATTCTTACCACTGAGCCACCTTTCCAGCCATGAGTACATTTCTTATCAAGCATTGTTGCCTCTTCCTTTGTTTCCCCTTACCATCCCTGTACCGTTTTGTTTTCTGTAATAACTGTACTACTTTCCTTATCTCTATACATTTAAAATCCTGTGTGTATGTGTGTGTGTGCGCACATGTGCACGTGCGTGTGTGCGAGTACTAAGAGTTGAACTCAGAGCCTCAAATGCTCACTTGGCTTTTTCTGCTTAAGGCTGGCACTTTACCACTTGAGCCACACCTCTACTTCTGGCTTTTTGGTAGATAATTGGAGATAAGAGTAACAGAGAAGGGTCACATACTGAAAATTCTGAAGGTCCTTTATTGAAGCCAGTGGTCAAGAGTGGCTACCATCCAACACAGATCTCCTGGCTCTGAGGGGAAATTAAGTGGGATTTTTAAAGGCAGAAACTGCAAAATTTACATATGTTTAGTTAGTACCAGGGAGATTAGGTACTGACTAGGTAAGGCTCAGTCTACAAGGAGATGGCAGCATGTATCTCTTAATTTAAACAAAAATGACAGTTAAGGGGTTTGTGACCTAGGTAGGGTGCAAAACAGGACATCACAATTTAACAGTTTACTCTTGAGATGTATTTACTCTCTAACTCCAGATTTTCCCTTATCATGCAACTCTGCATGGCCCTTTGCTATAAAACTGGGGTTAGGGGAAGGCTAGGCATTTCATTGGGGCTAGATTAGGTATTCCAGAGTCTCACAGACCTTTTTGCCTGGCTAGCTTTAAACCTCAAACCTCAGCTCTCAACCTCCTAAGTGGCTAGGATTAAGACATGAGCTACTAATGCCCTGCTTCAAGTAAAAGTTTTATGTTACTTTATTTGCATACTTGAAGTCTCTCAGCTACTTTTCTTAGCTTTATTTTTTATTTTAAAAAAATTAACTGAGCTGGGTGCTGGTGGCTCATCTCTGTAATTCTAGCCACTCAGGAGGCTGAGAGCTGAGGATGGTGGTTTGAAGCCACTCCAGGGACTCTTTCATGAGACTCTTATCTCCAATAAACTACAGAAAAAGCCAGAAGTGACTCCGTAGCTCAAGTGGTAGAGGAATAAATACTAAGTAAATAAAAATTATCTGTATACAGTTATACAAAGATTTTTTTTTTGGTCGGTCATGGGGCTTGAACTCGGCCTGAGCGCTGTCCCTCAGCCCTTCATCTCAAGGTAAGCACTCTACCACTTGAGCCACAGCACCACTTCTGGTTTTCTGGTGGTTTATTGGAGATAAGAGTTTCAGGGCCTTTCCTGTCCAGGCTGGCTTTGAATCACGATCCTCAGATCTCAGTCTCCTGAGTAGCTAGGATGACAGGCGTGAGCCACCAGTGCGGCACGAAGGGGTTTTAATCCAATGTGCCAAAGCATCTTTATCAATGGCACCTGTTCCATCACTCTCCCATCTCTCCCAGTCTCACCCACCCCCTAAAGTTGCCTGGGTCCATTTTCACGTACGTATATTGAATATTATGTCTGCATTCATTTATTTGTCCCATTTGTCTGGTTCCTTCGGAGTCACCCCTTAAGTCTCAGCTTCCTGGAACTTTGTGAAACTGTAAGTTAGTTGCTCAATGGAGATACACTGTTGGACTCCTCCCTGGGTATACCATAATTCTTAGCTATATTTTAGATTCCAGATAATAATAATAATAATGACAATAAATCAACCGCCTACTAACCTTGTAGCTAAGATTCTATCTCGGATATATATGTGAAGTTAAGAAATATAAAAGAACTCCTATATTTCAGTAGCAGGTTGCTGACACTGTTGCTTTAGCAGGTCTGTTCAGCAGATTAGCATCTGGAGCATAAGAAATAGGTCACACTGGAGACCAGAAACCCAGTACACTCACAGGAGGTCCCAGGCCAGGCCAGGGGCCTTGAAAAATGGCATCAAGTGTTCCTATCTACCAGAAAACACCTACTAGGAAAACTGCAGCCTGAACGTCCGTGCGGATCCCTGTGCATCCACAAAACCATCAGTGCATTTAGGGAAAACATCCGTTTAAGTGCTCGTTAGAGCAGAAAAAGAACCCCTCCCAGCATTTGCCCTCCAGGAAGTCCTGAACGCGCCTGCCGCCCATTCAGGGCAGAGAAACTCCACTGGCAGCGGCCCAGGGAAAGGGCGGGGGGGGGGGGGGGGGGGAGGGCGGGGGGGGGGGAGAGAGAGAGAGAGAGAGAGGGGGGGGGCGAGGGGGAGAGGGAGGGGGCGTGGCCTGAGCAGGAGGGGGCGTGGCAGGACGAAGCGGGAGCCGCGAGGGGCGTGGCCCGGCGCGTAGCCTCTCGCAACCGGATGGCGGGCGAGCAGCCGGGCTTCCTACGGGCTCTGCCGGCTGAGGGCCGGTCGGTGACGGTGCGAACGCGGGTGCGGACGCCGGACTTGGAGCAGTGGGGCCTGGCCGGTGAGTTGCCCGTCCCGGCTGGGGCAGGCGTGGAGAAGTGTGGCAGGACCCCGGGACGAGAGGCCCGGGAGTGCCCGCGGCTGCCGGCGGGAAGGGGCCTCCCGGGAGAGGGGACGGCGGGGATCCCGCGTGGGGAGGGCGTTCGCTGCGGGCCCCCCTCGGCCTCCTGGCTGCGCGGGTGAAACTTCCCCAACTCCTCTCCCACTTTTTGGCGCGTCCCCGAGGGCCGAGCACGCGCAGGGACCCCCGAAAGGCCGGGAGGGGCGCTGTGGCTCTAGTGGTGGAGCGCCAGCCATGAGTGAGAAAGCCGGAAGAGGGCTGAAGTCAGGCGCCGGGCGCAGGGGGGCGCGCGCGTGCGCACACGCACGCGCGCGCGCACACCCACCATTATAAGAAAAGCAAAGCTGCAGGGCTGTGATCACGGGCGGCATTCAGTAAATGTTTACATACCTCGAACTTTCCAACAAAACATCCATGTGGTCAGTGAGATTGAGAGTTTTGGGGACACTGAGGCCTGGTTCTCGTCCAGCCTTACAACCAACCTAGTTTGTGAATCTGGCTCCACCTTGCACCTTGACAAGCTGTGTCTTTTATTTCTAGGGATTCATCTCCGACCTTACCAACTGGAGGGGGTCAACTGGCTGGCCCAGTGCTTCCACTGTCAGAATGGCTGCATCCTGGGGGATGAGATGGGTCTGGGTAAGACCTGCCAGGTACGGCACTGCAGAATGGGCACGCTTGGTTTCCACTGAAATACCTTCTGGCCAACTCCTTACTGTCTGTAGCTACTATCTGCGACACCTGTTTTGTTTTTAATAGAAAACAATTATATTTGCTATAGAGAATAACATATGTGAAATGCCTATAGGTTTTTTATTAGCCACATCCTTTTTTGGGGGGAGGGGAGGAGAGGTTGGTCATGGGGTTTGAACTCTGGGCCTGAGCACTGTTCCTGAGCTCTTCAGCTTAAGGCTAGTGCTCTACCACTTTGAGCCACAGCACCACTATGCCTATAAGTTTTTGAAAGATCAAACCTTTGGGAATGAAATTTTTAAGTATCTCTTCTTGTTCTACCCAGGCTGCTTCCTTCTTTTTTCAGACTGCTTCTTCTTCTTAGCAAAATTTGTGTCAGTGAGAAAAAGGAAAAAAGGGATTCCCACCTTCATTTCCTTCCCCCCCCCTTGCCTCTCTCTCTCTCATATGTGTGTGTGCTGGTCCTAGGGCTTGAACTCTGCCTGGGTATTGTCCATTAGCTTTTTTGCTCAAGGATAGCATTCTACTACTTGAACCACAACTGCAGTTCTTGCTGTTTTGATGGTTAGAGATAAGAGTATTATGGGATTTTCTGCCTGGGCTGCCTTCTAGGTCTCAACCTCCTGAGTAGCATGGCCACTGATGCCAAGCTTTAGTTTGGGGGTGTTTTGGAGTTGTATATCTAACCTGCAGAAGATGTGCCTAGTTAGAAGCATAGTAGAAGAGTGGAAGTATAGCCTGGCCCAGGATTTTTCTGTCTCTTGACAATAAAATATATAAAAAGAAAATACTAAATATATATATAAAGTATATAAAAAGAAAAGTAAAATATATCTGCACAAAGATCAAATTGACTTTGATCTCCTTAGTGATGCTATGGGGTTTTTGTTTTGGTGTGTGTGTGTATATGCTTGAACTCAGGGCTTTGTACTTTCTTAAAATTTTTTATTGTATTTATAAAGGTGATGTACAGAGGTGTTATTGTTACATAAGTCAGGTAAAGAATACATTTCTTTTTGAACAATGTCACCCCTTCCCTCTGTTTCTCCCTCCCGTCCCCACCCACAAGTTTTATAGTTCATTTTCAACATAGTGTCTGGTGCATAAGGGTACTTTTGCTTTTTGCTTGGCTCTTTTGCTTAAGGCTGGTACTCTACCATTTGAGCCATACCTCCACTTCCAGCTTTTTGGTGGTTAATCAGAGATAAGAGTCTCATAGACTTTTTCTGCCCTGTCTGTCTTTGAACCACATCCTCAGATCTCAGCATGCTGAGTAACTGAGTGTGAGCCACTGGCTCCTAGCAATGCTATATTTTCTTAACTGGATTACTTCTAATATGAATCTTCTTCCTCAATAGGAGGTGAGCTGCTTCCCATTTCTCTATTGTGGTAAAGAATTTGCCCTATGTTTTCCAAAATGTCTTGGCATCTGTTGGCTTTACATATTTATAATTTAGATGTAACTTCCACATATGAGAAAAAACATACACATGACTTACTTCATTTAACACTTTTTTTTCCAGGTCCTTCCCATTTCCCTGCACCTTACATAATATTATCCTTCCTAATGGATGAATAAAATTCCATTGTGTGTATCTCTCTCTCTCTCTCTCTCTCTCATATTTTCTTGGTTTTCTTACCCATTGTAGGGCATCTGGGCTGTTTCTATAACTTGGCTGTGGTGTATAGTGCAACATTGAACATGGTTGTGCAAGTGTCTTTTCTGTATCCTGACTTGTAATCTTTTGGTTAAAAACCAAGAGTGGGATCACTGTATCATAGTTCTATGTATGGCTTTTTTCCTCTTTTCTTTCTTCCTTCCTTTCTTTCTTTCTTTCTTGGCCCTAACACTTTTTTTTTTTTGCCTCAGGGCTAGTGCTCTGCCTCTTTGGCCAGAACTCCTCTTCCAACTTTTTGGTTGTCACCTGGCCATCTCTGAGGCTCATCAACTTTCCAGCTTGGATTGGGTTTGAACTTAAATTCTAAGGTCTCAGGCTTCTGAGTAGCTAGGAATTTAGGAGGAATAACGAGCACACAGAACGTTGCATATTTTTGATTTCAAGAAAATGATTCTCCTTTCCTCAAAATGAAGGGGCTTCACATCTGGATGACTCAGAAATCCCATGCTGGAGTTAGGGAGATGTTTCATTTATTTAAGAGTCCTAGCACTTCAAGTGTCATAGGTTGATTCAACAGTAGTGATAAGGAAAGGACCCCGAAGTCAATGCTGTGCGCATGAGTGCTCTTTTCCCATGCAATAGGAGATGCCCAGGAGGAAGGGATTATAAAATCCCCTCAAACCCAAACCATGACGGAATACTAATGGAGTCAGAGAAGGCTGAGGCCGTGGAAACATTGGTAGAGACACTGAGACTTTCTCCTGCTACACTATTACAGAACAAAATTGGGAGCATGTGTCTGGTTTTTATCTATGAGTTACATTGCTATCTGGAGTTCTATTCCTTCGTGACTCTTTTCATTGCATTAGAGGTTCCATTACATAAATATTGAGCCTCATTGCTTGCTAACTACTGAAGTAATTGCACACTGTGCATTGCTTTGGCAAGTTTATTGAGGCAGGAATGGATTACTCTCCTAACGTGCAGGAGACTGTTTAACTCCCTTACAAAGCAGGTTGTGTGTAGGAATCTGTGTTCCTTGTGGTTGTGGGGACTTTGTGGTTGTTCCTCCTGGGAAGATGTGGTCAAAATGGATGCATTGCCAGGCCGTGAAGGTTCACATCTGTAATCTTAGCTGCCCATGAGTCTGAGTTCTGAGGTTTATAGTTGAAAGTCAGGTTGGGCAGGACAGTCCATGTGACTCTTATCTCTAATTAACCATCAAAAACTGGAAGTGGAGCTGTGGCTCAAGTGGTAGAATTGTTAACCTTGAGTGAAAAAGCTAAGGGACAGTGCTCCATACAATGACCTCCAAGAAAATCAAGCTGAAAAGAATTTTGATGTCTTCTTTTCTTCCAGACGATTGCTCTCTTCCTGTACCTGGCAGGAAGGTTAAATGATGAAGGACCATTTCTCATTCTTTGTCCCTTGTCTGTCTTGAACAACTGGAAGGAAGAGTTGGAAAGGTAAAGAGTAGACGTAGCTGGAACTTTATGGATGATATTTTCCTGGATGATGTATACAATATGATGAAACAGTACCTTACCATAATCAGTGAGGTTATGTATGCCAGAAAGCTCTGGAATATGTAACACTGAGGATCTGACAGAGGTGGAACAGTGTCTTTTATGATTACTATTCAGTTTTTGTATGTATGTATTCATGTAGTCACTGGTTCAATTCATTCATTCATTCCAAGGACAGAACCTAGGGTCTACCATTTGAGCTACATGCCCAGTGATTTTGTTTGCATATTGTTTTGTGATAGTGTCTTGCTAACTGCCCAGCCCGACCTGGAACTCATGATCCTCCTGTTTTTTCTACTGAGTAGTTGTGATTACAGATTTGTTACCACCATGCCTGTTACTATTTGGCAATTTAAAGATCAGTACCCATTTTTTACTAGGAGCCTGGCATGGTGGTGCAAACTTGTCATCTCAGCTCCCCAGAAGGACTGGGAAAAGTGTGTAAGACACTAGCTCAAATAAAAACATACAATGTAAAAGGGCTGGGGCTGTAGCTTGAGTGGTAGCGCACTTAGCTATTGAGTTCAAGGCCCTAGATTCAAGCTGCAACTCCAGTACTTCCAAATTGGGTGTGTTGGAGGGGGGTGGGTTAAACATTTTTTTTCTAATGACAGATGAAATAACTGACAAAATGAGCTTCACTTTCAGCGTCAGCACTAGGCCCTCTCAGACCTCATTCTCCTACCTGCTGTGCTGGGGCCTTTCCTTGGGTTTAGGTTTTACTCTAGTCGGGAATCCAGGACTCTGTGTACAGGACCTCATGAGCTTGGCACATTGCAAAACTTCCATGAAAGGTACCCTGCCCCTGCCCTGGGAGTCACTCACCATTTCTTGCATCTAGATTGGCTCCCGATCTTTCCTGCATCATCTACGCAGGTGCTAAGGAGGAGAGAGCCCACCTTCAGCATGGCCTGAAAGAAGAGTCGCGTTTTCATGTGCTGCTGACCACCTACGAGGTACCTACTCCAGGCCCTCAGAAGCTTGGAGTTTGACTTTCAATAATATACATCCTTTGGGAATAGAACCTGTCTGAGTCTTGTTCTCAGAGAGGGAAGAGAAGACTCGTGTTTTTTCCCCTTGTTCTCCTGATGGCTCTTGCGGGCATCCCAGGGTGGGGGCCCTGGAGTGGCCTCTTGGCTGAGGGGGAGGAGGGCAGGCAAATAGGGATGGGATGGGGGCACTCTTAGCTCTCCTCACCTTTCTTTAAATTTTATTTTTCTAGTCATATTTTAAATCCTTTTCTTTCTTTCTTTCTTTTTGTGTGTGAGTATGTGTCAGTACTGGGGTTTAAACCTCTTACTCTCACTTAACTTTTTTTGCTTAAGAGTGGTGATCTAGGGCTGGGAGTTGGCTCAGTGGTAGAGCGCTTGCCTTGCATGCCTGAAGCCCTGGGTTTGATTCCTCAGCACCACATAAGCAAAAAGAACAAAGCCGGAAGTGGCGCTGACTCAAGTGGTAGAGCGCTAGCCTTGAGCTGAAGAGCTGAGGGACAGCGCCCAGGCCCAGAGTTCAGGCCCCACGACTGGACCCAAAAAAAAAAAAAAAAAAAAAGAGTGGTGATCTATTATTTGTACCACACCTCCACTTTTGGCTTTTTGGTGGCTAATTAGAGTCTCACAGACTTTGCTGACTGGGCTGGCTTGGAACTGCAGTCCTCAGAGCTCAGCCTCCTTAGGAGCTAGGATGACAGATAGGAGGCACTGGTGCCTGGCTTTAAAATCCTGCTATTTAAGCTGAGACTGGATCATTATAAACAAGACTTTTCACTTAATTGTGCCTCAGTTCTATTCATAGACTTGGCTACTTAAAAATTATGAAAAATTTTGTTTTTCTATGAACAGGAAAGACTTGGTTGAATACTGTAAGTTAAGTTCGACAGGAAACAAGAAGCTAGCTTACTTACCAGAATTAATTAATATCAGCGCTGTGTCAGCAGCTCACACCTGTAATCCTAGCTATTCAAGGAGCTGATATCTGAGGACTGAGGGTTGAAGCCAGCCTGGGCAGGAAGAGAGACTCATCTCTAATTAACCAGCAAAAAGGCAGAAATTGAGCTGTGGCTCAAGTGGTAGAGCATCAGCCTTGAATGAAGCCTCACATTCAAGCCTCAGGACCAACACACACACACACACACACACACACACACACACACACGCTCTCTCTCTCTTTCTCTCTCTCTCTTTCTCTTTCTCTGTGATTAATATTATCCTTAAATTGTCCTTAATTTTTCAGATTTGCTTGAAAGATGCCTCATTTCTGAAATCGTGAGTAGGTTGTGCTACCTCAGAAACTTGAATCTTTATTTCCTGCTCTGATACTTTGTGTCTTCTATGTCCACTGTATGGTCAATGAGGTCATGTGTGGCAAGGCCAGAGTCTCAGTTTCCAGATTCTTATCTTTTGCTCTGTGGTTATGTACTTGTTTTATGTCCTTGTTATGTACTTGATTTCTGCAAACTTCAGCTTTATCTAGCCAATGGGGAACTATTAAATTTCTTTTTTTTTGGCGGGGGGGGGGGGTCCGGTTGTGGGGCCTGAACTCTGGGCCTGGGTGCTGTCCCTCAGCTCTTCAGCTCAAGGCTAGCACTTGAGCCACAGTGCCACTTCTGGCTTATGTGGTGCTGAGGAATCGAACCCAGGGCCTCATGCATGCAAGGCAAGCGCTCTACCACTGAGCCACCTTCTCAGCCCCACTATTAAATTTCTTATTAGGAATGGCTGGCTTAGAGGTTGAGATTAAACGGAAGGGCTGGTGGTTAAAAAGCTACAAGATTTTCTTTTCTTTTTTTGTTTTACTGGGGCTTGAACTTTAGGCTTAGGTGCTGTACTTTAGCTTTTTCTGCTCAGGGTTGGCACCCTACCACACTTGAACAACATGCCTTCAGCCCCGTTTTTTGGTGGTTAATTGGAGAGTTGAGGCTCATGGACTTTTCCTGCCTGCCCTGATTACAGGTGTGAACCACTGGTGCCCACTGGATTCTGCATTTTTTTTTTATACCGTTTTTACCTCTTTTAAAAAAGGATGTACAAGCCGAGTGCTGGTGACTCACGCCTGTAATCCTAGCTACTCAGGAGGCTGAGATATGAGCATTGCAGTTCAAAGCCAGCCTGAGCAGGAAAGTCCGTGAGACTCTTTTTTTTTTTTTTTTGTCGGTCCTGGGGCTTGAACTCTGGGCCTGGGCGCTGTCCCTCAGCTCTTCAGCTCAAGGCGAGTACTCTACCACTTGAGCTACAGCACCACTTCCGGTTTTCTGGTGGTTTATTGGAGATAGGAGTCTCACGGTCTCTCCTGCCCGGGCTGGCTTTGAACCGAGATCCTCAGATCTCAGCCTCCTGAGTAGCTAGGATTACAGGCGTGAGCCACCAGCGCCCGGCTTCCGTGAGACTCTTATCTGCAATTAACCATCAGAAAACCAGAAGTGGCGCAGTGGCTTAAGTGGTAGAGCACTTGCCTTGAAGAGCTGAGGGATAGCGCCTGGGACCAGAGTTTAAGCCCCACAACTGAACCTTTCCCAAAAAAAGGGTGTACAATGTTCAAAGATTTTTTTAGTTATGATTATAAATGTTTTATTTCCAACTGAAAGCTTGGATTTTCTCTCCCAGCTTTCCTTGGAGTGTTCTTGTTGTGGATGAAGCTCACAGACTGAAGAACCAAAACTCCCAGCTGCATAAGACACTCACAGAGGTAACATTGTAGGATATTCTTTCTTGGATTTTTCAGTCAAAGCTAGCACTCTACCACTTGAGCCACACCTCCACTTGTGGCTTTTTGGTGCTTAATTGGTGATAAGAGTCTCAGACTATCCTACCTAGGTGTCTTCATACTTTGATCTTCAGATCTCAGCCTCCTGTTTTTCCTAAATTTTTAATTCTGACTAAATTTTTATACTAATGAGTATTTAATTACTTACTAATAAAAGTTTTATTCTTTTTTTTGGGGGGGGGAGGTCTGTCATGGGGCTCAAACTCTGAGTCTGGGCGCTGGACATGAGCTCTTCAGCTCAAGGCGAGCGCTCTATCACTTGAGCCACAACTCCACTTTTGGTTTTCTGGTGGTTAATTGGAGATAAGAGTCTCATGGACTTTCCTCCTGGGCTGGCTTTGAATTGCAATGTTCAGATATCAGCCTCCTGAGTAGCTAAGATTACAGACATGAGCCACCTTTGCCCAGCTAGTCTTCTTATTCTTACTGTCCTTATTTCTTTCTCAAAATTCTAAGGAATCCATCCATTTTTTGACTGTGTATGGCATAGTGTCCAGAAACTTCAAGAAGTCTTGATGTCTTACATCTGATGTATCATAAAGTTTTGTAAAAGGGAGTTGGTAGGGTCTAGCTCTTGCTTGTCATTCTAAGGCTGTAGTGCTAGCTTCTCAAACACCAGGTGTGCATGCCTGTGTGCTTGTTAGGTGCTTGTTAACAGTTTGAATCCCCACATAGACTGAATAGTAGTAACCGTATTGAATACCATGTGAACATGCCCAGGTTCACAAATTGGACATCCTTCCATCCTTATAGCAGCACCTTCTTGACCAGATTGTTCTCCCCTTCTTAACTTTGAAACCATAGAAGATATTTTCTACATTAAATAGAGCATTGCTGGGCACCGGTGGCTCATGCCTGTAATCCTAGCTGCTCAGGAGGATGAGATCTAAGGATCATAGTTTCCCACCGCAGGTGGGAAAGTCCATGAGATTCACATCTCCCAATTAACTAGCAAAAAAAGTGATAATGGAGGTAAGGCTCAAATGGTCAAGTGCCATCCTTGAATGTAAAAGCTTAGGGAAGCTCCAGGAGTCCAAGCCTCAGTACCAGCATTGAAAAAATAAAATTACATCAGGCAACTTGAACTTGAGCCTCCAGATTCCATTGTTCCATGTGGCTCTTTGTTGGATCTCTCAGTCTTGCTTGCCTGTTAGGGACTTCTCATTTTGTTTATTTGTGTCATTGAGTTCTCAGTGGTCTTCAGGATCCTATTGACCGGAACACCCATCCAGAACAGCCTCTCGGAACTCTACTCCCTCCTCAGTTTTGTGGAGCCTGAACTCTTTTCCAGAGAGCAGGTGGAAGATTTTGTTCAGCGTTACCAGGATATTGAGAAAGAGTCCACATCAGGCAAGTTTCTTTTTCATTTTTTTGTTTTGTTTTGTTTTGTCGGTCACGGGGCTTGAACTGGGTACTGTCCCTGAGCTCTTTCTCTACCACTTTGAGCCACAGCACCACTTCTGGTTTTTTGGTGGTTCATTAGAGATAAGCGTCTCACAGACTTTCCTGCCCTGGCTGGCTTGGAACTATGATCCTCATTCTCAGCCTCCTGAGTAGCTAGGATTATAGGCATAAGCCACCAGTGCCCAGCTGCAAGTTTCTTTTCTACAAATCATCTCCAGAGGGTCTCAGCAGAGAAACTGCCCTGATTTATAAGAATTACTGATAGAGTAAATAGAACTGGTAACCAAGGGTGTCTGCCTGAAACAAGGCAGGTGATAGAGCTCCAGTTGTCTGTTCTCCTTCCCTCCCTCCTTCTCTTCCCTCCTTCCTTCCCTTCCTTCCTCTCTCCTTCTAATGCTTTTTCAACTTGAATTAGCTTTATAGGGATATGACTAACAGGTGCATGGGTACTATGAAAAATAACTATCCAGCATGCAGAATGAGTGTGAAAATGAGACACTAGCTAAATAATAAACTGCTGTATGTTCTCTAAGTAGTTCATGAGCTTGTGTTTTTATTACACAGCAAGTGAACTACACAGACTCCTGCAGCCATTTCTGCTGAGACGAGTGAAAGCTGAGGTCGCTGCTGACCTTCCCAGGAAAACAGAAGTAGTGATTTACCATGGCCTGTCAGCCCTGCAGAAAAAATACTACAAGGCCATTTTGATGAAAGACTTGGGTAATCAGAAGGTCTTCTTCCTGTTGTTTTTGTAGGGGTGGGCAGTGCTGGGGCTTGAACTCAGGGCATTGTCATTGTCCCTGAGTGCTACTTCTGGCTTTTTGGTGATTAATTGGAGATTTGAGTCTCACAGACTTTCCTGCCTGCGGTGGCTTTGAACCACGATCCTTAGATCTCAGCCTCCTGAGTAGCTAGGATTACAGGCATTAGCCACTGGCACCAGCCATTATTAAAACAATTTTGTGTGTATGTGCTGGTACTAGGGCTTGAACTCAGGACCTGAGCACTGTCCCTAAGCTTTTTTACTCAAAGGCTAGCAGTCCAATTGAGCCATACTTCCACTTCTGGTTTTTGCTGGTTAATTGGAGGTAAGAGTCACAAGAGACTTTCCTGTCCAGGCTGGCATCTAAACGTGATCCTCCAGTCTCAGCCTCCTGAGTAGCTAGGATTACAGGGGTGAACCACCAGTTCTGACCAGTGGCAAAGTATTTTAAAAATTACTGAGACTTGGTTGTCAGTTATGGGTAGGTTGATTTACCTATCTTTTTGTCTGTCTGCCTCCCTCTCTGTTTAAAATGGAAGATGCATTTGAAAATGAGATGGCAAAGAAAAAACTCCAGAACGTCTTGTCCCAGCTTCGAAAGTGTGTGGATCATCCGTACTTGTTTGATGGTGAGCGGTGCCCTTTTCCCCACCATTTGTTGAGAAAGTTCTGTGGCCAGAATTGTAGTACAATTCTTCAAAAAAGTTGCAAGAGCCAGGCATCAGTGGCTCACACCTGCAATCCTTGCTTCTCAGGAGGTTGTGATCTGAGGATCATGGTTTGAAGCCAGCCTTAGCTGGAAAATCCAATCTTTTCTCCAGTTAACCACCAGAAAAGCAGAAGTGGAGCTATGGCTCAAGTGGTAAAGCAGTAGTCTTGAGCACAAAGAACTAGGGATAGTGCTCAGACCCCGAGTTCAAGCCCTGTAACTTCAAAAAAAAAAAAAAAAGAGTTGCTTGAGCCAGGAACTGGCACTTTTTTGAGCTCCACACCTCTACTTTCAGCTTTTTGCTATAGCTAATTGGAGATAAGAATCTCACAGACTTTCCCGCTCCAGCTGACTTTGAACCCTGATCCTTAGATCTCAGCCTCCTGAGTAGATAGGATTACAGTTATGAATCACTGGCACCATCTCTGAGTCTGCTTCTCAGTTCTTTTTTTGTTCCTTTTTTTGTGTTGGCCTTATTGAGGTCTAAACTCAGGCCTCACATTTCCTAGGCCACTTCAGAGTCATACATCAGCCCCTTTTGCTTTAGTTATTTCTCAGATAAGGTTTTGGGCTTTTGCCCAGGCTGGCCTTGGACCAGAAGTACAGGCAACTGCCAACACTACTGGCTTTCAGTTTTGTTTTGTTTCATTTTTTGTCAGTGCTGGAGTTTGAACTCAGGGCCTGGGAACTGTCCCTGAGCTAGTGCTCTACCACTTGAGCCACAGCTCTACTTCCAGCTTTTTCTGAGTAGTTCATTGGAGATAAGAGATTCACAGATTTTCCTGCCTACGCTGGCTTCAAACTGCAACCTTTTGATCTCGGCCTCCTGAGTGGTTAGGATTATAGGTGTAAGCCACTGTTTCCCTGGCCTACTGGCTTTGTTTTTTGAAATAGGGTGTCACTAACTTTTGTCTAAACTTTGTCTTAAGACAAGAGCTTCCTGTCTTCAACTTCCAAGTAGCTGGAATTACAAGTGTGCACTCTCATACTCAGCCCCTTGGATTTATTTTTTTAGAATGAGAAGCTCAAGATTTCATTTCTGAATATATTGGCTGTTAGCATCTCCCTGTGCCTCAGTTTCCTGAAGAATGAATTTGGGTTGGGTTTGTTCTTTAGATTAATATTTATTAGGCTCTTTTGGTTAAGCTCTGTGGTTGGTGTCAAGCAACAGAGATGACCATGCATACAATTATCAAATGCCTCCAACGAAAGAGACTGGAGCATATTATGCATCAGAAAGGGGTATGGATGATACTGTAGCCTGAATATTGACATGGGTGAGTGTGTGTGTGTGTGTGAATTTGAGTGTGTGTATGTGTACATGCATGCACTGGTTCTGGGACTTGAATTCAGGTCTGGGCACTCTCCCTTAGCTTTTTTTGCCCAAGGTTCCCACTCTACCACTTGAGCCACAGCTTCACTTCTAGCTTTTTGGTGGTTAATAGGAGACAAGAGTCTTATAGATTTGTTTGCCTGGGCTGGCTTTGAACCTGGCTCCTCACATCTCAGCCTCCTGAGTAGCTGGGATTACAGGCATGAGCCACCAGAGCCTGGTAAATAGTGGCTTTTCTATTTGAGGAGTCTGGCCTGACCTATGGTACATTATTGAGACTGGGTTCTCTTTGCCAGGTGTGGAACCAGAGCCTTTTGAAATTGGAGAACACCTGGTTGAAGTTAGTGGAAAACTTCACCTACTGGACAAGCTGCTGGCATTCCTGTATTCCAGGTCAGCATTAGGTTTCTGAGCTAGTGACTGTCCAGACTTGAATCATGAGAAAATTAATGATTTCTTTCTTTCTGTTTTTATTGTTGTTGTTGTTGTTGTTGTTTTTGGTACTGAGCTCAGGAACTCACACTCTTGCTTGATTTTTTTCAATCAAGGTTGGAGCTTTACTGTTTGAGCCATACCTAAAGTTCCAGCTTTTTGCTGGTTAATTGGAGATAAGGGTCTCTTGGATTTTTCAGGCGAGGATCTTCAGATTTTAGCCTCCTGAGTAGCTCGGATTACAGGTGTGAACCACCTACAAGGTGTATTTAATGATTTCTTGGGATTGACTGAGTCTTCCTTTTTACAAGAGCCTGACCAAGGTTCTTCCTTCTTTACCACTTTTCTCCCACACTTTCCGTGATCACCCTGTTCTTTTCCTGAATTCATACAGGACTTGGGGTTCTGATCCAGCACTGGCAACACCTGCCTCTCTTGGCTACCTGGTTAACTGGAGTGTGTTGACCTCAGCACTCCAGCTTATCATTTAGCTCCACAGGGATGGTGTCTTTTGTGGCTAACTGCTGGCAGCTTGCAGTGAATCAGCAGACAGGCTCACAAAACAGCCTTTTTGTTAGCCTTCGGGGGATTGATTTAAACGTAGAACTTGGGAGTCTCTTTCCCAGAGACTTGAGTTGGGCACCAAAAGACCAAGTTTAGCCAGGCAGTGGTGGCTCACATCTGTGATTTAGCTACTCAGGGGGCTAAGATCTGAGGACCAAGGTTCAAAGCCAGCCCAGAAAGAAAAGTTCATGAGACTTTTTAATCTCCAATTAACCAGCAACAAAAAAATACAAGTAGAGATATGGCTCAAGTGGTAGAGCACCAGCCTTGAGAGAAAAAGCCAAGCAAGAATGCTCAGGCTCTGAGTTCAAGCCCCAGTACTGGCACCAAAACAAATCCCCCTTTCCTCCCCCCCAAAAAGAAGCCCATATTTAGTGTTTGGTGATTGGGTGTCTGGCTTGTATGTGGTCTTGCTAGTCACCAGCGGGAAAACTGCATTTAGGAAAACGCTCGAGGATTGTTCACTACCAGTTATGGCCTCAGACACCTAAAACTTCAGAATTGGCAACATTTTCCAACTTTCAGGATGTACAAGTTCAATGATCACATGTTGACTGTATTTTATTGGTCTTATATATCTATATAACTATCCTAAGTATTAAGTATTGAAGAGTTTGGCCAGGCACTGGTGGCTCACACCTGTAATCTTAGCAACTCAAGAGGCTGAGATCTGAGGATCACAGTTTGAAGGCAGCCCCGGCAGGAAAGTCCATGAGGCTCATATCTCCAATACATCAGATTAAAAACAGAAACAATAAACACAACCAGAGAAAAGCCCCAAGTTTAAGGTATGGCTCACCTCCACCTCTGAGTTATTAGTGTAAACGCTTGGCTCACCACCGCCTCTGAGTTAGTAGTGTAAGGTGTGGCTTGCTTCTGCCTCTGAGTTATTAGTTCCTACTTTGTTTTTCTTCCCAGGGGCCATCGGGTTCTGCTTTTCTCTCAGATGACCCAGATGTTGGATATTCTCCAAGACTATATGGATTACAGAGGTAACTCCCCTTAGATGCTCATTTCCTAAACTTTTTTTAGGCAGCTCTATGAAGAATAACATGGGATGAGTAGGAATTTTACAAAAGTAAGCAGCTCACAAACGCTGTTCAAAACTAAAAAGAGGAGTCTGAGGTGGTGGCTTACGCCTGTATCCTAGCTACTTTGGAGGCCGAGATCTGAGGATCAAGGTTCAAAGCTTGCCTAGGCAGAAAAGTCTGCAAGACTCCATCACCAATAAACCAGCAAAATGTCAGACTGGGAGGCATGGTTCAAGTGGTAGACCATCAGCGAGGGGCAAGAAGGCCAAGTGAGAATGAGAGGTCTGTTACAGGAGCACACATAAAAAGAACTCTCGATGCCAGTTGCCGGTTGTTCATGCTCCTAGATACTTAGGAGACTGAGATCTAAGGATTGTGGTTTGAAGACAGCTTAGTCAGACAAACCTGAGAGACTTTTAACTACCAAAAAGCTGGGAGTGGGGAATGTGGCTCAAGTGGTTAGAGCACCTGCCCCGAATAAAAGAGGTAACTGAGAGCAGCAGGCCCTGAGTAGTAGCCTCTGTAGCATCACAAAGAAAAAATGCAAACTGCTGTAGCATATGGACAATCAGGGCTGGGAAGAGCGGCAGCTGAGTGTTCTCTTCATAAGTGCCTGAGTTCGCTTATAAGATGATGAACTCTCCCTCTCAATCTTTTCCATAAGCTTTATTAAAAGTAGAGGCTTGCATGTCAATGGGGTGTTTGGTTTTGACTGCGTTTTCTTTTTAATTCCCCAAGGAGTTCTTAAAGAGTTAAGATTTCTCTCTTATTTTCACACCTCCCCCCCCCTTTGTATAAAGGCTATAGCTATGAGCGTGTGGACGGCTCAGTGAGGGGAGAAGAGAGGCACCTGGCCATTAAGAACTTCGGACAACAGCCCATTTTCACTTTCCTCCTGAGCACGAGGGCAGGTAGGTTACTGGCAGTGGGACAGCAGGTAGTACCCTTAACATTCCCAACAGTCCGTGTATTTTCCTGTCAACCTCCTCATGGTGAGATAATGGGAATTTATGATTCTTCTAACCAAATAAGTACCAAAAAGGAGGGGACTGAGAGTCATTGCTGTAGTTTGTCAAGGTTCTGGCATTCGGCATGGCGGCTTTTCTTTTATCAACCCATCGAGGCTTGTCTCATCTGAGAAGTGGGTCTTGAGGCGTGGAGTGAGTAGTTGGAAGGGAGATTGGTCTGCTGTGACACTGGCCTAGCTGTATCCTGGAAGACTCCTGGGATTTTGTGTCATTTTCATCCACATTCAGAGTAGCCATGAATCTAATTGGGACATTTTTTGGTTGCTCTTCCTCCAGGAATACCTTGCAGGTGTGTTGTCTACATTTCCAATATCTTATTTACCAACAACTATAATGAAACCACCAGCTATGTAGAAGAGTCACATGTCTCCATACAACATGCATCACAGATGATACGCATGGCATTGGTGGTGCTTTAGTATGTATGTACAGTGCCATGTATAAGCAAGTCAGCCAAAGTCAGTCTGGGGAGATGAGGAGCTTGGATCCGGCAGACCAGAAGTTACATAAGCTTGGTTTCTCTATCTCAAATCCTGTGGAATAGATGTGGAACACAAAAGGGAGGGGTGTCCTTCCTAAAAGCAACCAAGCCAGGCCCCTCACACTTCTGATCCTTACTCCTCAGGAGGCTGAGATCTGAGGATCACTGTTCACAGCCAGCACAGCTGAACTGGCCTGTTGGCTATTCCTTTTTTGCTATAGTTTTGCACATTTTCCTGTTTAACAGGTTTTCCCCCACTTTCAAGTGTTTTTCTGTGATTGACTCCTATTGCCACTAGGTGGCAGTGATTGCTTATAAATCTTTCCCAAATGGCTGCCTAGAGCTTGTTGATGAAAGTACCAATGCCAGGTGCTGGTGGCTCAGGCCTATAATCCTAGCTACTCAGAGGCTCAAATCTAAGGACTGCAGTTTGAAGCCAGCCCCGGCAGAAACGTCCATGAGACTTTTATCTATCTCCAGTTAACCACCAAAATCTAGAAGTGTGTGTGTGGCTCAAACAGTAGAGCTCATGCCTTAAACAAAAAAGCCAAGCAAGAGCATGAGGCCCTGAGTTCAAATCCCAGTATTAGCACAAAAGAAAGTATGTCTGAGGGAGATAACTTGATTTTATTGCCTAGCTGTAATTTGCAAGTGTGATCAAATGCTCTAGTATTACTAATGACCCAGTAGGCATCTTACATTTGGAGCTGTTTTCTGAAAGAACTTGTCATTTTTGTGTCAGTATTGGAGCTTGAACTCAGAACCTTGCACTCTCACTTGGCTTTTTGCTTGAGTCTGGTGCTCTACCACTTGAGCCATACTTCTACTTCCAGCTTTTTTTTTTTTGGTTAATTAGGGATAAGAGTTTCACAGACTTGGGCTGGGAAGGTGGCTCAGTGGTAGAGTGCTTGCCTTGCATGCTTGAGGCCCTGGGTTCGATTCCTCATAAGCAAAAAAAGAAAAAAGCCGGAAGTGGCGCTCTGGCTCAAGTGGTAGAGTGCTAGCCTTGAGCTGAAGAGCTGAGGGACAGCGCCCAGGCCCAGAGTTCAGGCCCCACGACCAGACCCAAAAAAAAAAAAAAAGAGTTTCATAGACTTTACTGCCAGCTTTGCTCAAAAATCATACTGATCCTCAGATCTCAGCTTCCCGAGTAGCTAGGATCACAGGTGTGAGCCACCAGCAGTTGGCCTTTATTTTATTTTTTTGCAAACTGATCTAGCAAAATTCAACCAAAGTTCTCAAGCAAAAGAGATTTTTAAGAGTTTCTCGGTACTAACTTACAAATCCTCCTTGCTCCTTTCCCCTGATGCCCACATTCTGTTAGATTTAATAATTATATTGTCCCGGGTCCTACAGTGTGAGGCCACACATACCACACTGGGCTCTGGAGTAGGATGGGCACCACCGTGAAGCCAGTCCGCTTGAGTGATGGCAGTTCATCCATGTGGCCCAGCCCAGCCCACACCTCTCTTCCAGTTCCTCCTCTCTGTGCCCAAGTATACTCCTTTATCCTTTGCTTCCAGGCGGAGTTGGCATGAACTTAACAGCAGCAGATACCGTGATTTTTGTTGACAGCGACTTTAACCCTCACAACGACTTGCAGGCAGCTGCCAGGGCTCACCGGATTGGCCAGGACAAGTGAGTGAGCTGAGCATGGGCATTTCCCCGCTGGCGTGGCTTGCCTGGGAAGGAGGGTGAGGAGCACAGTCCTGGTGTCAGGAGATGAGAGGCCTCCAGGCTCAGCCCAGAGTTGCTTCCAACCCCTGGGCTTGAGTCAGGGGCCAGCTTGTCTGTCCACACTTACTTTCCTAAAAATAAAAAGGTGCAGTTACAACAGGATTGGAGAGAACCTTTAAGTCAGGACCTAGCTCAGGTTTAAAATGGGCTGAGAGCCAAGTGTCAGTGGCTCACATCTATAATCCTAATTACTCAGGAGGCTCAGATCTGAGGATCCAGGTAGGAAGCTAGCTTAGGCAGACATCTGTGAGACTTGAATTAAACAGCAAAAAATTGGAAGTGGAGGCATGGCTCAAATGGTAGAATACCAGCCTTAAGGAAACAAGCCAAGGCCTTAATTTTAGACCCAAGTACAGGTGCAAAAAGAAAAGGAAGGGAGGGAGGGAAGGAGGGGATGAGGAAGGAAGGAAAGAAAAGAAGGTGGGGGAGGGAGAGGGGTCATGAAACCTTGTCAGAAAGGTGGCTGTGACGTGCAGGCGCTGTGTATCCCCCTGCCGGATCGCTGTGGCCACAGAGGCAGTAGCTCAGTGCCAGCCACCCCTTCATCCTTCTGACCTCAAGAACCTGAGGACAGGTCCTTTCTGCATGCTCAGTGCAAATGGACTGTGGCCTTGTATCTGCTGTGTACTGTGCTGTACCCCCAGCCCAACCACGTTCTTCTTCTTTTTTTTTTTTTTTGTTGGTCGTGGGGCTTGAACTCTGGGCCTGGGCGCTGTCCCTCAGCTCTTCAGCTCAAGGCGAGCGCTCTACCATTTGAGCTACAGCGCCACTTCCGGTTTTCTGGTGGTTTATTAGAGATAGGAGTCTCACAGTCTCTCCTGCCCGGGCTGGTTTTGAATCGTGATCCTCAGATCTCAGCCTCCTGAGTAGCTAGGATTACAGGTGTGAGCCACCAGCGCCCGGCTACGTTCTTCGTTTTGTGTATGTGCCACTACTGGGACTTGAACTCAGGGCCTCATGCTCTTTTAGCCCAGGGTGCTTTTCCACTTGAACTCCACCACCACTTCTGGCTTTTTGCTGGTTAGTTGGAGATAAGAGTTTCATGGACTTCCTGCATGGGCTGGCTTCAAGTGAGATTCTCAGAATTCAGCCTCCTGGGTAGCTAGGATTACAGGTGGAAGCCATTGTCACCTGACGATCTTGTCCTTTTAATTGTCCCCTGTATATGCCTGGTGTTTGGTTTTGCTTCCTTTTATGTATACTTATCTGGCTCATTTTTCTCCAATTTGTAGATGCTCATCTTATCCACTGTCACTGACTTCCGTGCAGGTCTGTTAAAGTTATTCGACTGATTGGCCGAGACACTGTGGAAGAAATTGTCTACAGGAAGGCAGCCTCCAAACTGCAGCTCACCAACAAGGTCACAGAAGGAGGCCATTTGACTCTAGGAACCCAGAAAGCTTCCGCAGATGCAGACCTCCAGGTAGGAGTCAACCAGGAGCACACACCTGTGGGTGCTCCCTGTAATCATAGCTACTCAGAAGGCTGAGAGTGGGGATCATGGTTTGAAGCTAGCCCAGGCAGGAAAGTCTGTGAAACTCTTGTGTCCAATTAACCACCAAAAAGCTGGAAGTAGAGCTGTGGGTTAAGTGGTAGAGTGCCATCCTTGAGCAAAAAAAGCTCAGGGACAATGCCCAGGCCCTGAGGGGAAGCCCCAGGATCAGTACAAAAGGAAGGGAGGAGAGAGGAAGGAAAGGGCAAATGCCAAAGGGAATGAGGTAGAGTACTGGGAGCAGCCTTCTCATTTGAGGAAGTTTAGCAGTGAAAAAGCTAGGATAGAGTCTCTAACTGCGGCTTTTGGGGAGGCCTGTGAGAAAGAATTGTTATTAAGAAGTGTTGTTATTCTTAATTGCTGTTATTTTTACATTAAAAAAAAATGGAGGCTTATAAATTAGTGTTGTGTTGTTATGGAGACTTGTCAAAGCCACAGCTCCGGTCGTTCATCACCTCTGCTTCTGCATGGTCGAGTGATTAAAGTGATTGGTGCCATCTTGCTGGAGGAGGGGAAAGGCAGGCTGCCCAGAGAAGGACCGTACCTGGGTTCTTTCAGCCACTTAGCAGATCACTCATAAGCTGGTGCTTTTTGTTCTTAAGAACTAACTGGACTCTTGTTTTCTCCATTGAAGTTAAGTGAGATTCTCAAGTTCGGCTTGGATAAACTTCTGTCCTCTGAGGGGAGCACCATGAGTGACATGGACCTGGAGTCCATCCTAGGAGAAACCAAGGATGGCCAGTGGGTCCCAGATGGCCTGTCTGCTGAAGGAGGAGAGGCCAGAGAGCAAGAGGAAGGAAGTGAGTTGCAACCAGACAGAGTAAATGGCACAACCTAGGCATGAGCTAGGATGGGAGACCCCTGAAACACCCCACGTACTGTTCCCACTATCTCTCCCTACCCTCTTGCCATCTCGGGCATTGTGTGTGTGTGTGTGTGTGTGTGTGTGTGTGTGTGTGTGTGCGCACATACGTACTGTTCCCACTATCCCTACCCTCTTGCCATCTCGGGCATTGTGTGTGTGTGTGTGTGTGTGTGTGTGTGTGTGTGTGTGCGTGCGCGCGCGCACATACGTACTGTTCCCACTATCCCTACCCTCTTGCCATCTTGGGCATTGTGTGTGTGTGTGTGTGTGTGTGTGTACGTACTGTTCCCACTATCTCTCCCTACCCTCTTGCCATCTCGGGCAGTGTGTGTGTGTATGTGTGTGTGTGTGTGTGCGCGTGCGCGCAAGTGTGCGCGCTCTAACTTGGCTTTTCTACTCAAGGCCAGTCTTGGTGGTAAATTGGAGATAAGAGTTTCATGGACTTTTGGGGCTGGGAAGGTGGCTCAGTGGTAGAGCGCTTGCCTTGCATGCCTGAGGCCCTGGGTTCGATTCCTCAGCACCACATAAGCAAAAAAAAAAAAAAAAGCCGGAAGTGGCGCTGTGGCTCAAGTGGTAGAGCGCTAGCCTTGAGCTGAAGAGCTGAGGGACAGCGCCCAGGCCCAGAGTTCAGGCCCCACAACCGGATGCAAAAAAAAAAAAAAAAAAGAGTTTCATGGACTTTTTTACCCAGGCTGGCCATGGATCCCCAATCTTCAAATCTCAGCCTCCTGAGTAGCTAGGATTAATTACAGGCATGAACCACCAATGTGGCTGACTTCTGTTTCAGAAAATCTTTACTGTCATTGAGGGTTTCAGGTGAGGGAAGAAATAGATACATATGCTCACTTTTTTTAATGTTACATTTGGTCACCTTAAATACCAAAAGCTTACATCCATTTCTACTCACACCTAGATTAATCTCATCTTCTTTTTCTAAGGTTTACTAGAACGAATAAAATTAGTGTTTTCAGAAGAATAATTGCATTTCCCATTCAAACCAACTGCTTACTTTGTTGGTGGTGTTTTTTTTTGTTAGTCGTGGAGCTTGAATTCAGTGCCTGGGTGCTGTCTCTGAGTTCTTTTGCTCCAGGTTAGCGCTCTACCACTTTGAGCCAGCAAAAAGCTGGATGTAGAGGTTTAGGGCTCAAAAGAGTGCCAGTGTCTGGCTCAAGCAACTCTTCTTTTTTTTTTTTTTTTAAAGTCATGGTCTGGGCTCAGGGTCTGGGCTCTGTCCTTGAGCTCTTTTTGCTCCATGCTAATGCTTTATCACTTAGAGCCACAGCTCCACTTCTAGTTTTCTGGTGGTTAATTGGAAATAAGAGTCTCACACTTTCCTGCCTGGGCCACCTTTGAACTGTGATCCTCAGATCTCAGCCTCCTGAGTAGCTAGGATTACAGGTGTGAGCCACCAGCGCCTGACTATATTTTTCTTCAGACAAACCAATTACTTGAAAAGAACTCTCAGCTGAATTAAAATTTGTATTGTTTTCTTTTGAAATATTTTTAAAAAAATTATCTTTAGGTAGTTGTACAAAAGGGTCTCAAACCAATCGGTCAAGTTTATGAGTACACCTCATCTTGCACATTGTTGCCCCTTCTATTGTCATCTCCAGTCTCAACCCACCCATCCCCTCAAGTTACCTGGTTCCATTTTCACATGTGGACATTGAACATTATGGGATATTGTCTGTGATGGATGAGTCTGGCTTCCTGTGTGGTAGATGGCTCCTATGGGCTCCAGCCTCCTCTTGGCTACAAAATTAAGATGGAAAGCACAGAGGATATTACAAATAAATATGAAAGACTAGAAATTAAAACAACTTCTGCTGAAACTAAATCAAAAGCAGGATTGCTTTATCTTGGAAAAAAAATCCACATTTTTGAGCTGAAAAGTTCATGCAGTCTGCAGCTACATACGTTGATCATATCTGACACTTCTCAGCTCTTTATTTTTTTTCTCACTTGTTGATAGAGTGCCTCATTGCAAGCCCCCTGCTGATTTAATTAGCAAATGCCAATTAGAATTACAGCTGGTTAGATTTGGGTACAAGTGTGGAGCAATTGATCTCTTGAGAATGAAAATGTTTTGCTTTCATTTTCTCCAGGGAAAACATACTTACAGCTAATTTCATAAGGCTGGGGAAATAAATTATTTGGTAACATGTGTTATTAAATACACTTCAGTTTCGACTCATTCTCTTACCTATCTGTGGTTGCTGGTCTTGGCGGATTGTCACTTGATTCACAGTCTTGGCAGATTACCCAGCTTTATGGAGCCTCTGTGTCCTCATCTGGAAAATGGTGCTAGTAATGTCTGCTTTGCCTTCTTACCTGATTGCAAAAATCAAGTGGGATAATAGGGGTGAATGCGCTGTTTAAGATCACACTATAAGCTCAGAGCTGGTGGCTCACACCTGTAATCCTAGCTACACAGGAGACTAAGATCTGAGGACTGAGGGTTAAAGCCAGCCCAGGCAGAAAAGTCTGTGAAACTGTTGTCTCTAATTATCCACCAAAAAAGCTGGACATGGAAGTATGGTTCAGCTGGTAGATACCAGCTTTGAGGGAAGAAGCTAAGGGACAGTGCCCAGTCCCTGAGTTTCAGCTCCATGACCAGCACATACACATAAAACAGGCAAGAAACTGTATGTCCAAGGGATTGTTTTTGTGGTGATGCTTTTTTTTTTCTTCTAGATTGCTCATTTGCCCCTTTAATATATAGGAACAGGGGAAAGTGTGCTTCATCCAAAAAGTAGAGATTGTATAAGAGAATGCTAAGGTCATTGAGATTTGTGCTGAAGAATAGCCTGGGGGGAGGGGGGTGAGAGAGAGAGCACACCACAAATTATAAATGGACCAAGCTCTGTCTGTGGAGGAGTATGGATCTCCATGGACACCCTGAGCATGATGGGAAAGGAAGTCACAAGCTGGTCTCAGCCTGTTCAAAACATGGTGGTTATCTTTTAGCCCTACCTACTGCTTTGAATATTGTTTTGGCTTTAATTGGACATATAGTCTCTTAGATTTGTATGCCTGGGCTGGCTTCAAATCATGATGCTCAGTTCTTAGCCTCTGTGTAGCTAGGATTATAGGTGTGAGTCACCAGCACCTGGCTATACCAGTGCCCAGCTTGTTTTTCATTGTCTTAACATTTCTCTCTCTCTTTGTGTTTTATGTTCTTAGAAAACCATATGTACTTATTTGAAGGTAAAGATTATTCTAAAGAGCCCAGTAAAGAAGACAAAAAGTCATTTGAACAACTGGTAACTCTTCAGAAAACTCTTCTGTTGGAGAAAATGAGTCAAGAGGGACGGTCACTCCGAAAGAAAGGCACTGTAAGAACTATTAATTTAATATAATAGTATAAATTCTCCAAACTGTCATCCTAAGAGAACAAAAAATGAAGCTAGGATCATCTTAATCTCTTATGGTAATTTGTTGAGAAATGAGTGTTGACTGAGGAAAATTATCTGGGTCCTAGAGCCATGTAAACTATTCTCATAATAAAGCGTTAACAAGGTTAGGTGCTCTGGTGGTTATCCTAGCTATTCAGGCTGCAGATCTGAGGATCAGGGTTCAAAGCTAGCCCAGGCAGACAAATATTAGAGACTATTACCCAATTAACCACCAAAAAGCCAGAAGTATTGTTGTGGCTCATCAAGAACTCAGGCTTGAGCAGAAAAGCTAAGGAAAAGCATGAGGCTCTGAATGCAAGCTGGGTGCTGGTGGCTCACACCTGTAATCCTAGCTACTTTAGGAGGCTGAGATCTGATGATCGCAGTTCAGAGCCAACCCAAGCAGGCAAGTCCATGAGACTCTTATTTCCAATTAACCACCAGAAAACCAGAAGTAGAGCTGTTGTTCAAAGTGTTAGAGTAGTAGCCTTGAGCAAAAGAGCTGAGGGGACAGTACCTATGCCCTGAGTTCAAGCTCCACAACTGACAAAAAGAAAATCAACAAATTGAGTGTATTGTATACTTAATGCTGATAAAAGCTCCCATGGTCCTTCCTCTAAGCTATAAAGTCTTATGACACCCCACTGTTGGAAATTGTGACCTTACTTCATAAATGACATGTAATATTCTAGATTCTACCTATCATTAAGATAATCAAGGTTATGAACTATTCCATTTTTTGTGTGTTTTGGGGGGCTACTCAGGCTTTTTCTTTCAAGGCTGGTGCTCCACCAGTTGGGTCACACCTGTATTTCTGGCCTTTTGCTGCTTAACTGAAGATAAGAGTCTCAGACTTTTCCTGCTGAGGCTGTCTTTGGAATTGTGATCCTCAGATCTGAGCCTCCTGAGAAACCAGATTACAGGCACGAGCCACTAGCGCCCAACAGAACTCTTTGTTTTAAAAGGAATTGCACAATACATTTGTAGAAAAGATTGGAATGAAACTTGACTAAATTTGAAAATACCACAATGCAGAATATGCTTTCCATCTAGGAAAAAGGCCCCCCAAAACAGTACTGTTTAGAAGTGCCTCATTCCTAATGAAATCAGTGAAAATGATTGCGCTAGCCATGGCACTGGCTGTCTGGCACCTTGTGGTCACCATGCGTGTGAAATGGACCAGTAATTCCTGCCACACGGCATGGCATAGGGACAGCACCCAGCATGTTGCTCCGTGCAGGGCGCCGCAGAGGTGAGTGACACTCACAGCACCTGACCTTCCTGCCTGCGGTCCTTGCTCTTCCTCAGGTTCTGATCCCTGGTCTTGTGGAGGGGACCTCCAAGAGGAAGCGAGTTCTGAGCCCAGAAGAACTGGAGGAGAGACGGAAGAAAAGAGAAGAAGCAGCAGCCAAGAGAAAGAGACAAGTAGAGGAGAGGAGGAAGGCAAAGAAAGAAGCTGAGCATAAGAAAAAGTACGTCTGCATCCTATGCCAAGCTGACGACCACGGTGTGTTAAGGGGTCACTATTATATAGTTCAACTCTATAGCTGAATGTCACATTAAAAACCTAGAAAATTCAGGGCGTTTGTTGGTGGCTCATGCTTGTCATCCTAGCTGCTCATGAAGCTGAGATCTGAGAATCATGGTTTGAAGCTAGCCTGGGCAGAAAGGTCCATGAGACTCTTACCTCCAATTAACCAACAAAGAGTGGAAAATGGAGGTGTGATTCAAATGGTAGAGCACCAGCTCTGAGTAAAAAAGCCAAGAGAGAATTCAAAACTCTGGGTTCAAGCCTTCATACTGGCACACTCATATATACACCCCACAGAAAATGTTCATCAGAACTGGCTGTAACTATTCGTATCAGCATATGTGTGAAAAGATGAACTTTTTTTTTTGCTGGTCCTGGGGCTTGAACTCAGGGCCTGGGCACTGTCCCTAAGCTTCTTTTGCTCAAGGCTAGCACTCTACCACTTGAGCCACAATGCCACTTCTGGCTTTTTTCTGTTTATGTGGTACTAAGGAATTGAACCCAGGGCTTCATACATTCTAGGCAAGCACTTTACCACTGAGCTACATTCTCAGCCTAAGATGAACATTTTTTCTACTTTAGAGCGATGTCCCGAGTACAGAGATGATGTATTCTGTTGAAATAATATTTTTGTTGTTTGCTCTGTTTTTATCAGTCATGGGACTTGAACTCGGAGTCTGGGCTCTGTCCCTGAGCTTTTCCTCTCAAGGCCTAGCACTCTACCACTTTAATCCAAGCTCTACTTCTAGTTTTCTGGTAGTTAATAGGAGATAAGAGTTTCACCGGGACTTTTCTGCCTGGGATGACTTTGAACTGCGACCCTCAGATCTCAGCCTCTTGAGTAGCTAGGATTACAGGCACCCAGCAAATAAAAAATATTGAAAGGTTTTATTGTAGCTGAACAAGACGTCATATATTTGAACAGTCATTTTTCTTAGAATCAGAGACATTTGGTAGCTGCTCATTATTGAAGTGCAGTCAGGAGGCTGTTAGGCTCATCAGTGACTTACATATTTACAAATGAGCCAAAAACTTCAGGCAAGTTTCTAATTGCCTCTCCACTTGGCTGTTATGGTTTGTAAATAGCGGTGCAGAATGTTCTAAGGGCGCTGGCTGATTCACTTTTTCTCTCCGGTCTCTGAAGGATGACCTGGTGGGAGTCCAGTGGTTACCAGTCCTTCTGCCTGCCCTCGGAGGACAGTGAGCCAGAGGAGCTTGAGGATGAGGTGGAAGAGGATTCTTCTGACCTGGATTATGGAGACCCAGACTCGACCTCCATCAAGTACATCAGTGGAGATGTCACCCACCCTCAGGCGGGGGCAGAAGATGCCCTCATCGTGCACTGCGTGGGTAGGTGACAGGGCCCAGAACCTGCCGGTGCCCAGAAACAGGGACAACAGGCAACATAGTGACAATGGTGGTGATCCAGGGTCGTATTGTTCAATCAGAAAAGCAGAGTTCAGAATCAAGACACAGATTTGACTCTTGGCTTTTTCCTTCCACCCAACCTCTCTGAGCCTCAATTTCCTCAGCCATATAATGAGATAACATCTGCTTCATCTTCTGCACAGTGTGTGTGTGTGTGTGTGTGTGTGTGTGTGTGTGTGTGTGTGTGTGTGTGTGCGCGCGTGTGTGTGTGTGTGTGTGTGCGCGCGCATGCGTGCGTGCGCGCATGCTGCTACTGGGGCTTGAACTCAGGACCTTGCATTCTCTTTGGCATTTTTTGCCCAAGGTTGGTACTCTACAGTTTGAACCACACCTCCACTTCCAGCTTTTTGCTGGCTCATTGGAGATAAGTCTCATAGACTTTCCTGCCTAGGCTGGCTTCAAATTACAATCCTCAGATCTCAGCCTACTGAGGAGCCAGGATTACTAGGTCTGAGCTACCAGCTCTCATCTTTCTGATCAACTTTTACAAAACAGTCTCTATCTGTACCTCTGTGCTGTTCTTTCTCCTCTTTCTCCTCTTCCTTTGTTGCTGCAGATCACCACCTGTCATATTAACATGCGTTTTTAGTTGCCTATGACATTACATTAGAAAAGAAGCTGCATGGGGCAGAGACGGGATGTCCTTTGTCCACTGCTATCTCTGCTGCTTATGCAGTAATGCCTCATGTGTAATCCACTCCACAAATCCTTACAGTATGAATTGTCAGAAAGGGACTGAAAGGGGAGGTTCCACCTCTTGCCCTTCTTCACTTGCCTCCCAGAAGTCACAGACATATTAGAGATTCTGCTCACTAATTTTTGACACACTCCCAGTGGGATGGCTAGTTGTATCTCCCAGAAAAACTTCTACATATTGGGAAGTCCAAATACGACATTTGTAGATCAGCTCTCTTTTCTATAGCCTATTTTGTGTGCTTTTGGGCATCTGAATTGTCAACTGGACTTTGTGTAGATGAGACTATTCTCTTCTCTTCTGTCAGATGACTCTGGCCGCTGGGGCCGAGGTGGTTTATTCACAGCTCTGGAGGCACGGTCTGCTGAGCCAAGAAAAAGATATGAGTTGGCTGGGAAAATGCAAGGTAAAGAGGCAAAGCAGGACAGTGGGTCCATGGGTCAGGGCTGGAATAAGGCAGGAAGGGACATACCACATCCTATTAGACGGGTAAGGAATCAGAAGAGCCGCTTGAGGCCTGAGTTCTGTCATCCATTAGTGATGTAACGTAGAGATGGTCCCCTGCTTCTCTGTGACTCTTTCCTCGTCTATGTTTGGCGAGTGGTATTTGTCCCACCTACCTTGATGGAACAGTAGTGAGGCTCATGAATGTGTATGAGTTCTGAAAAATGTCCATCATCACATCTGCTTTTAAGTCTTAGAACAAAGATTACCCCATTGCTTCCAGCTCAGCCCATTTTCCTAAGAGAGAGTCTCATGGAGGCCTCAAATCTATGTAGAGAAACAACACACGCTATTTAAGTGCTAAGGGTAGATTGGTAGACGGGGCCTGGGGGCAGGAAGGTGTATTAATGGGAAAACCACAGCCTGGGACAGAAGTCAGGCTGCTTAGGGCCAGGGGAAGTTGTAACACTGAATAGATAGCATCCCTTGGCACAGAACAATGGAAAGTTACCCATTTTGGCATGTAGAAATCGCAGTATAGAAAGAGGTAACATTATCATCGTGATTATATGGTACCCTCTAGATTTTTCCTATTAGGTTTTAGTGCTGTTTTGATTTGCATCTCCTTTCTCCTGGTTCTTCTGTCTAAAATGGAAAGGAAAACACTCAATGCTCAGGGCTTAGCAAGGTGGACAGTCAGCCCAGAACTGGATGCTGATTTGGCAGCTGGAAAAGCAGAGAACAGGAGAGAGATCTAACCCAGAGTTGCATCCGAAACAAGAGGGCAGAGAACAAGGTAGAAAACACTTCCTCAAAGGAAAAAAGGCAACAATGAGCTGCTAGATGACCTTGAAGATACAGTGTTTGAAGTAAGGGTTGAGTAGCCTTTTTCCAAAATTCATGGGACCAGAACTATATCAAATTGGAAGGAAGAAGGCTGTTGAAATATTTGCACATATATAATGAGATGTATGTGTAGAGATGAGATCCAAGTTTAAATGCAAAAGTCACTAATGACTTGGGCACTGGTGGCTCATGCCTGTAATCCTAGCTACTCAGGAAGCTGAGATCTGAGGATTGCAGTTCAAAGCCAGCTCAAGCAGGAAAGTCCATGAGACTTTTCTCCAATAAACTACTCAGAAAAAGCTGGAAGTGGCGCTGTGGCTCAAGAGTACTAGCCTTGAGCACAAAGAGGCTCGGACAGTGCCCAGGCCCTGAGTTCAAGCCCCAAGATCCACAGAGAGAGAGAGAGAGAGAGAGAGAGAGAGAGAGAGAACCAGAAGTGGAGTTGTGGCTTAAGTGGTAGAGCATAGCCTTGAGTAAAAAAGCTAAGGGACAGCTCCAGGCCCTTTCAAGCCCTAGGACAAGTGTATACACACACACACACACAGATTACAGCAAAATAGTCCTTAGTGGGAGATGCTGAAGTGGGGGTAAGAACAGGATCTGACCCAAGGTCAGCCACAGGACTTTGGGAGACGTTGGCTGTGAGGTAAGAAGAGGCTGGTTTCTTCAACTGCTGGTGCTGGGAAAACTGGGCGGCCACAGGCAGAAAACTAAAAGTGGACCCCAGCCTATCACCATGCACCAACATCAACTCAAAATGGATTAAAGACCTTAACATTAAACTTGAATCTCTGAAACTACTGCAGGACAGAGTAGGAGAGACACTTGAACTAATAGGCACAGGAAGGAACTTCCTGAACAGAGTCCCAGGGTCACAACAAGTTGGAGAGAGACTCAACAAATGGGACTACCTTAAAATAAAAAGTTTCTGCACAGCTAAATCTATCGCAACCAAGCTAGAAAGACAACCAACTAATTGGGAAAAAATATTTACCAGCAATATATCAGACAAGGGGTTAACATCCTGTATATACAGGGAACTCAAGAAACTAATCCCTCCCAAACCTAACAAACCAATTACTAAATGGTCAAGGGAACTAAAGAGAGACTTCTCAGAAGAAGAGATAAAAATGGCAAAGAAATACATGAGGAAATGTTCACCATCCCTGGTTGTGAAGGAAATGCAAATAAAGACAACCCTGAGATACCACCTTACCCCAGTCAGAATGTCCCACATCTAAATATCAGCCAACGACAAATGCTGGAGGGGATGTGGAGAAAGAGGAACCCTATTACACTGCTGGTGGGAATGTACACTTATACAACCACTTTGGAAAGCAGTCTGGAGGATCCTGAGAAAGCTAAAGATTGACCTCCCTTATGACCCAGTCATACCACTTCTAGGCATCTACCCTGAACAACAGGAACCAATATACAAGGACACGTGCACCTCCATGTTTATTGCAGCACTGTTCGCAATAGCTAGGATATGGAAACAACCCAGATGCCCCACCACAGATGAATGGATCCAAAAATTGTGGTATCTGTACACAATGGAATATTATGCAGCCATTAGAAATGACAAAATAATGGCATTTGCAGGGAAATGGATGGAGCTAGAAGGAATCATGTTGAGCGAGGTAAGCTAAGAGCAAAGAGACAAATGGTACATGGTCTCCCTGATAAGTGGATGCTAAATCCAAAATGTTAGGTGATACGACAAAACTAACAGGACTTAAGAAACAAAGAACTCCCACTCATCTGGTCGAACCACTACTAAATATCCCCATACTGCTGATCACATGTACGGTGTATAACATGTGAACACCGTTATATGTTATAGACAGTGATAGACAATTTGCTCCAGGAAAGTTAGAATGAACTTGTGACTTTAAATGAGCATCATTATTCCACAATACTGTGAAATTCGAGAAATTATGTAATCACTTAATCACAATCAAAAAAAAAAAAAAGAACTTCGGGGAAGGTAGGGAGGGAAGGGATGGTAGGGGGAAAACAATGGAGGGGGTAACAATGTTCAATAGGAAGTGTACTCATTACCTCACTCATGTAACTGTAACCCTCTGTATAGTATCTTTACAATTAAAAAAAAAAAAAAAGAGGCTGGCTATGTAGACGTAGTGGAGGGTGGAGCAGGCCCTCTTTTCTGCAGTAGGGTCCAGGGGAGTGGACACAGTGGGGAAGCACAGAAAGATCCAGAATAGACCCTGCTTCATACAACTTAGTGGATTTAATGTTTTTGTTGTTGTTGCTTCTGGTTTTCTTTCTCAGATTTGAGTATGGGGGGTGTCCTTTTATTTCCCATTGATGATAAAGTATCAAGAGACAAGGGGCACGATTTGGTAAGTAAAAAACAAAACTAGGGGCTGGGAGGGTGGCTCAGTGGTAGAGCACTTGCCTTGCATGCATGAAGCCCTGGATTTGATTCCTCAGCACCACATAAGCAGAAAAAGCTGGAAGTGGCGTTGTGGCTCAAGTGGTAGAGCCTTGAGCTGAAGAGCTGAGGGACAGCACCCAGGCCCAGAGTTTAGGCCCCAATACCAAGAAAAACAAAAACTACACTCACAGGAAAGTCAAGGCTTTCAGAGCAACTTGCTCTGAAACCTGTCTGGCCTCTGACATGCGGCAGAGTCACCGTGCTGCAGTGGTGTGGGCTTGCGAATGTGTTTCCCACAGTGCTAGAGGCCACAAGATCACGGGCAGCCTTCCCTGCGGCCTCTCCGTGCTCATGGATGGCTGCCTCCAGTGTGCTCACACCATCTCTGCACATGAGCATCCCTGCTTCTTCCTGTGTGAACAGGTTTCCTCTTCTTAAAGGTTCATGCCTGAATTCTAGCTACTCAGGATCACAGTTCAGAGCCAGCCCGGACAGGAAAGTCCACAAGACTTATCTCCAGTTAACTAGCAAAAAGGTATAAGTGAAGCTGTGGCTTAAGTGGTAGAGTGTCAGCCTTGAATAGAAAAACAACAACAACTGCACAAGAGGATCAGATCCTGAGTTCAAGACTCAGTATTGCAACCTCCCCAAAGAAAGAGAGAGAGAAAAAGAGAGTTTTCTGTTTGGCCTTAAGCAGAGAAAGAGGGAAACAATCCATTCTTCTCTCCTTTCTTTGCTCATATCAGAAATCTTTTGCACCCCAAGTATCTCCTGCTTACTTGTCATTTGGAATAACTATAGTAAGTTTTATTTGCCATGCCTACTTCTTTTTTTTTCCTCATACTGGGGCTTCAAGTTAGAGCCTCTTGTATTTATCCTGCTTGCTCATGTCTGGCACTTCCACTTAAGCCATACCTCCAGCCTGGCTTTTTGTTCATTAATTGGAGATGGAGTCTTAAGGACTTTTCTGCCTGGGCTAGCTTAAAACTGTGATCCTCTAGACATTAGCCTCCGAGTAGCTAGGATTATAGGTATGGGCCACCAGTGCCTGGCTCATATTTGAATTCTTACCTTTAAGAGTATTTAGATATACTGTGTGTGTGTGTGTGTGTGTGTGTGTGTGTGTGTGTGTGTGTGTGTGTGTGTGTGTGTGCGCACGCGCGCACACTTGCTGCTACCAGGGCTTGAGCTCAAGGCCTCACATTCTCACTTGGCATTTTTGCTCACAGTTGACTCAGTCAACTTGAGCTGTGACTTCAGCCTGGCTCTTTGGGGATTAGTTGGAGATGGAGTGAGGCAGGCTTTCTTTTCCTTCCTTGATTGGCTTTGAACTGTAATCATTCAGATATCAGCCTCCTGAGTAGCTATGATTATGGGCATGAGCCTCTAGCACCTGGCTAGAAGTGTGTATACACACACACTCACACTCACACTCCAAGGGCCCCACAGAACTGTCTCTCCACCATAGGCAGGTCACTAGGTTAACATGGCTGCCTCCTATCCATGGCTGCTCATATGGTTGTTCTTCCCAGTTGGCCTTGGTTGTAGCTCAGCACCGAGATCGCGCCAACACCCTCTCTGGCATTCGGATGGCAGCCCTAGAAGAGGGCCTGAAGAAGATCTATGTAGCAGCAAAGAAAAAGAAAGGTGAGCTCTTCCGGTGTTTCGGTACCTCTCGTGGGAGTGGCGCAAGTCCATGACCCCCTGACTTGTGTGAAGGTCAGAACCATAGTGCGTTGCTGTCTACTTGGTTCTTTGGGAATCCTTTGTACCACGAATATTGGGAGCACGTCCATCCACTGGGGATTTTACCATGATTTTATTCTTAGGTGCCAGTACTGGGCTTGAATTCAGGGCCTACTGGTCAAAGTTTTTTTGTTTTTTGTTTTTTGCTTTTTTTGCTCAAGGTTAATGCCCTACCAATTGAGCCACAGCTCCACTTCTGGGTTTTTGAGTGGTCATTGAAGATAAGGATCTCATGGACTTTCCTGCCTGGGCTGGCTTTGAACTGTGATCCTCAGATCTCAGCTTTCTGAGTAGCTAGGATTGCAGGTGTGAGCTCCAGCACCCGGCTCCTATGTATATTATTTTTTCCATCCATCCTCTTTTGAGGGGTGAAGACACCATGATCTCTTCTCCTTTTTTGTATAGCAAGTGTTCATCTTCCACGCATCGGACATGCCACCAAGGGTTTCAATTGGTACGGGACCGAGCGCCTTATTCGGAAGTATTTGGCTGCCAGAGGCATTCCAACGTACATGTATCCTTTAGTGATCTTCATAGTTTCTTCACCCAGCCCAAGAGGGAAAGTGGGCTTTGTCTCCTGAGACTGCTGTTCCATCTAAGGCCTGGTCCCTTCCTTCTGTGTTGCTATATACAAACTAAGATGCAGCCAGCACTGGTGCCTAACACCTGTAATCCTAGCTCCTCAGAAAGTTGAGACCTGTGGATCATGGTTCAAATCCAGCCTAGGCCGGAAAGTTCATGAGACTCTTATCTCCAATGAACTAACAAAAAGCCAGAAGTAGAGTTGTGGCTAAGTGATAGAGCACCAGTGTTGAGCAAATAAAGCTTAACAAGAATGCAAAAACTTGAGACCACATCTGAAAGAAACTAAAGAAAACAATGAAGGCATGGCACAACTGTAGAGGACCTGTTTAGCAAATGTGAGACACAGTGCAAACCTCAGGACCACACACACACACACACAAAAACCCAACAAACCCTTGAATTACTGCAGAACTTAGTAAACCCAACAAACCCTTGAATTACTGCAGAACTTAGTAGAGCAGTCATGTCGTCATGTCTTGTATGCTTATACAATGGAGGCAGAAGCTGAAGAGTTCTGGGATAGCAGACAACAGAAATAGCAATGAGTCTTAAGAGCATGGAAGTGTTTATGGTGCACAGGAAGGGAATCCAGAGGTTGTCTATAGCTTTAGCCATTATTTGCATAGTCAAAAAGCAAAAACAGCGGTTTAAAGTGGAGACCATGCTTCCTTGACCGCCCTTATCAGATACTACTTTCCTAGAAGTAGGGCTGCTGGCATCCATTCCCCGTCCTTCACTTCCTCCTCCACCCAGCCACTGCCCTAACAGCCAACTTGGTGCTCCACACTGAGACTCCCGCACAGAGTGACTGTCATGGAGGACCCCAAGAGAGAACAAGGATGGAGTTGGCCTCTGGGACTGTCCATTTCCTGGGTTGACGTTTGTCCTCCTGGGGGGAGGGGTAGGCGGGGGGAGGGGAGGCCGCTGACTCTGATCTATACCTGTAATACAGGAATGCACTATTTTGGCCTTAGTTTACATAACTTGGTGTAATAATAAATTTCCTATATCAAATAGTTTCTGTCTGTATCTGGTTTTCTTACCCTTGAGCAGGCTAATTTTTTATGTGTATGGATGTGCCAGAACTGAACTCAAGTGCCAGCAACTTGAACTCAGGAGCTGTGTGTTGTTCTTTAGCTTTTTTTGCTCAAGGCTGGCACTCTACCTCTTGAGCCACATCTCTACTTCCAGCTTTTTTCTAGTCAGTTGGCACTAAGAATCCCACGGACTTTCCTGGAGGCTGGTTTTGAACCATGATTCAGATCTCAGCTTCCTTGAGTAGTTAGAAACAGACGTGACCCATCAGCACCTGGTTTGGAACTGATTTCTTCAGTGAGAGGTGGCATGGATTAAGGAGAGGGGAGAAGCAGTGGAACAGAGAAGGATCTCTATCAGTTGACTCATGCCTTCCAAAGTAAGATTATTTTATTTTTGTGCTGGTAGTTGGGTCTGAACTTGGGTTCTGGCACTCTTGCTTGGCTTTTTTGCTCAAGGCTGGCACTCTACCCCTTGAGCCACAGATCTATTTCTTGTTTTTTGGAGATCAGAGTCTCATGATTTTCTTGCTCTTGCTTAGCTTCAAATATGATCTTCACATCTCAGTCTCCTGAGTAGCTAGGATTACAAGTACGAGCCACCAGGGCCCAGCCAAAATGAGATTCTTGATCCAGACACAGAGTGTCTGCCTGAGTTCAAGCCCAGTATTGGCACCTAAAAATAATGATAAAGTAGCCTACTGCTAGCTTCAAGGCCTAGTCTCTGAGCCTTATGGACGGTCAGTATGACATCAGAAAAACTGCAAGATTTTTTTCCCCCCACTGGCCAAATCCAGTTCAGCTTGCATACAAGGAACTTTTGACAAGAGACTAGAGGAGACCAAGAGCCAAGAACCACTGGAGCCTTTAAGGAGAATCAGGGAAGTGGTAGCTGTGCACGCTTTGGTATGTGAAATCTCAAAAGTTGAACAACTCCCCTCTGCTCGGCTAACTTGAGCTGTGCGGGAGGTCCTCGGTATTCTGAGTGTGTCTAAGCCTCTTTAGCAGCCTTGCCCCGGGGCCAGGAGACTTGATGGGGAAGAGGATCCCCTTAGCACTTGGCTTTTGTGGTTCTGCTGGACTCCCAACGGAAGGTGGTACCCCACCTTTCAACAGTTTAGCATCTGTGCTGAATGAAGATCTCTTACACTTCAAATTCTTGATTCGTTTTTTTTCCCTAATTGGGAGGTGGGGGGTAGACTAGGTACTGCCCCTGAGCTTTTTTGTTCAAGGCTAGCACTCTACCCCTTGAGCCACAGGGCCACTTCAGGCTTTTTTGGTAGTCAGTAGGAGATAGAGTCTCACATATTTTCCTACTCCAAAGATCCGTGATCCTCAGATCTCAGCCTCCTAGTGGCTGGGTTTGCATGCATGAGCCACCAGCACTTCAGGGCAAACACTAAAACTCCTGAGCTCATTTAACCAGTCTGCCTTCCTTAGAGAGCAGGGATTCATTGCTACTTTCATTTCATATTTTGTGCAGCTTGTCAAGTGCCTTCAAGTGTACAGGAAGTCCAGCCCTCTGTCGTGCAGCCTAGCGCTGGGTCCTGGGGTTCCCTCCCTCTTTTGCATTTGTGTATTTGTACCTGTTTCCTTGACCTCAGTCATCCCATGGTTCTGGAGGAAAACAGGATGTAGTTCACTAGAGCTGCATCTTTCTTTGGCTTTAAGCTATCAGTCACGCAGATGAGGACCCAGAAAGCCACTGAAAAGAAATGACATTTGCAGGCAACTCTCTTCTTTCTTTCTTGGTCCTGCTTAGAGTTGTCTTGTTGGCAGGCAGCCGCCTGTGAAATGTGCACATTTCAAAGCAAATGGCTCCAGGAGCTCATAACTGCCAAACGTGTGTGGATTTTAATAGCCCATTTTCATTAGCCTTGTGTGAAATCACCTGTCTCTGTGTTGTTACCCAACTTAATTGTCAATTATGGTGATTAAGCTTGGCTCTCACTTCCATCACCACTAACAGTTAGTGTTATCTCTGAGGCTGAACTAAGGGGGAAAAATGATTGTTGTAGATGCAGGCGAATATTTTGGCATCAGCGGGTAAAGTGACAGTATTCCCCGGGCTGAACCAAATTTGAGTCTAGCTGTCATTTCCAATCTGCCTTTTAAATGTCTTAAGGCAAATCACCTTTCTTTGGTCTCTTGGTTTCTTGACATCAAAGGAATTGGTACCCAGCCCCTTCCACTTCTTCATGATAACCAATAAGACAGTAGGTCAGATTTTATTTTTCTTGGTAATGGGGGTTGAATTCAGGGTCTGGGTGCTGTCCCCGAGCTTTTGTGCTCAAGGCTATCTCTCAAACACTTTGAGCCACAGCTCTACTTCCAGTTTGGGGGTGGTTAATTAGAGATAAGAGTCTCACCAACTTTCCTGGGCTGGCTTCTAACAGTGATCCTCAGAGCTCAGCCTCCTGAGTAGCTAGGATCACAGATGTGAGCCATCAGTGCCCAACTTTTAGGTCAGACTTAATGAGCTTCTAGCATTTTTTTTCTTGTGCAGGAACTGAGGCTTGAACTCGCAGTCTCATGTTCTTACTTTGGCTTTTTCTATTCAAGGCTAGCACTCTACCACTTGAGCCACACCTCCGCTTCTGGCTTTCTGCTGGTTAACTGGGGATAAGAGTCTCTTGGATTTGTCTGGGCTGGCTTTTTGAACCGGAGATCCTCAGATCTCAGCCTCCTGAGTAGCTAAGATTGCAGGCATGAGCCAACATGCCCACTGCTTCTAGGAATGTTGATGACCCCAACTATAAAGGGTGGAGTCCTAGAAAGATCTTTTGGGCAGTGTTGGCAATGAGAAACTTGAGCTATTAATTACTGATTCTTCTTCTGGTTTCCTCAGCCGTGGCTTCTATTATATAGACTCCTTTAAATGTGCCAGTGAATGGATATTTTAATTTTCCTGGCATTTGGAGTGAACAATAATGAAGATCAAGGAAACCATCATCTCTTTTCCTTGTTCTTTACACATTTTTAATTTAGTAAAATTCCCAAACTCATTTCTGTTAGCGCTTTTATGGGATTTCAAGACAAGACAAAATAATGAAAGACATTTTTTAAAAAATGATATCATTAGCCATCATCTCTAGTATTTGAGGGCCATGTGTGTCCCCAAGGTTTATGACACTCTTATGACTTAATGGTTTCCTTTATCTTCCCAAAACTCCTTTGAGGAAACTAATAAGAGATTTTTTTATTCTAATTTAATGGGAAAAAAAGAAATTAAGTCATGTACGCTTAAGGGATGAGGAGAGGGACAGGTGACTGCTGTAGCCTTCTGGGATAAAGGAAGGATAGAGTGCTATCTCACTGTCTTTATAAAACACAAAAACCTCCTAAACCCATAACCTTGCAAAGCTCCTTACTGTTGTTTTCAATGATTTTTGTTGTTGATGATGTTGGAGTTCCAGTACTGGGGCTTGAACTCAGGGCCTGTGCTCTCACTAGGCTTTTTTGCCCAAGGCTAGCTCTCTACCACTTGAGCCACAGCTTTATGTCTAGCTTTATTTTTATTTATTTATTTGTGGTTAATTGGAGATGAGTATCACAGACTCTCCTGCCTGGGCTGGTTTTGAACCACGATCTGTAGATCTCAGCCTCCTGAGTAGCTCAGATTATGGGCATGAGCTACTGGTGCCCAGAAATAATCCTCACCAAGATACCAGCATCTCTGCCTTCCACCTGTTTTCATGAGAGCTACCTGTGAGCCCCACAAGCAACTAACTGGACAAAAGGTTGCAGTTTCTAGACTTTTCTTCTTTATGCTTACAGATCACCTTTTTCTGGTCATTTAAGCTTAGTCTTTAATATTTCAGCTTAAATGCAGCAGACACTATGTGGAAAATGAGCTCTACAACTTGTGGGTGGGAATGGGAGGGAAAAACTGGAAGAGAGCAAAGGAAGGGGTGACATTGTCCAAAAAGAAATGTACTCTTTACCTGACTTATGGAACTATAAACCCTCTGTACATCACCTAAAAATGTTTTTTTAAAAAAGATTTCAGCTCCCAGTACCCAAAGCTTCTAGAAATTTCCCTACCAAAAACAAAAAAAAACAAAAACGATTCAGCCATCTCTTAGTTGGGGTTTCTGAGGAAATGAACCGAAGCATGGCAGTGGTTGCCATGGCGACAGCTCTCTCTGGTGGGAAGGGAGGAAGAGCATCACTTGAGGGAACGGATCAATATTCCAGTAGACCCGCCCTCTGCTAAGGAGGGCGTGGTCCTGGAGAAGGAGGGGTGGAGGGGAGAAGAGCCTTTTAAGTAATGTGGAACAAAATCAGAATGGCTACTCTAAAGGATGTGTCAGCCACTCAGAGGGGTGGGTAAAGGGACTGGACACCGTCCAGCAGAGGAAGGAGACAGACACAGAGTGATCCTGGGAGCAGGGCTTTGGGTTAACTCCCAAAAGGTCTCAGGAGCCTGGCAGGGGAAGCAGAGGAAACAGGCTGCAGAAATTATCCAGGGCATGTTGTTGGCAAAGAAAATGCATGACATAGATGGACATCAAACACACCCATGGAGCATAAAACACTACTTGCAGAAACTGTGTGCCACAGCTTGAACAAGGGTACTTACGAGCCAGGCAGAGTGGTTCACACCTGTAACCCTAGCTACCCAAGAGGCTGAGTTCTAAGGATCCAGGTTCAAAGCCAGTCCCAGGCAGACAAATCTGATAGACTCTTATCTCCAACAGACCAACAGAAAGCCAGAAGTGGAGATGTGGCTCAAGTGAGAGTGCTCGCCTTGAGAGGAAAAGCTAAGGGAGAGGGTGAGGCCCCGAGTTCAGGTTCAAGTTTCTAGTACCAACACACACAAAAAGTACTGAGTGCAACTGAAGTATGATGGAAAGTGCA